CTCTCTCTCTACTCGCGCGCACGCGCACACACACACACACAACAACAACAACTTCTTCTGGGAAAATGCAACACTAAGTAACATCTGAGAATCTAAGGGCTGCTGCAAAAGTAACTCTTCAAGATAGTGTCAAGTAGAAATGCAAAGACTTATCACCGCTTACTTCCAGCACCAATTCCTTGACACCTAATATGTCTACATTTATAGTAAAGTGGCTCTGAGGTTTGATATGTTGACTTTTCCCACCCTAATGACTCCAGCGCCACACAAAAGCAGTTACTCATGCATACTCCTAAGTTCTTTACTATAAAGGTGGAATTCAATGTTATGTGTTGCCTGAAGATTATATACCACCTCTCAAGCAAGTAAAAACTACTGCCAAGCAAACCTGAGACATGTTCTAAAAGTCAACACTTTAACACCCATCTGTTCAAAGGAGACTGTATACTGATTCTTTTAACGTGAAGTCTCTGAAATATTCAGAAGGTGTAGGCCTAGGTCCATACCTCAGCTTGCACCTGACACAACCATTTCTTGTCGCCATGGCTACAAAGATGAGTCACTCAGAGTCCTCTAGACAACTTGAGGAAGATCTTATAGTAATTTCAGAATGGGATATATTCTTAGTAATTATCAATTTGCAATAATTCAGTACAGTAAGTGATCATTACTTATCCCACCACATAAAAACATGGACATGAGCTAGGCAAACTGGAGAGTTGCTTTCCATTATAAAATAGATAACTCATCACCAATCTCTTATTAAATGATCTCTATATAGATACAATAACAAATAGGGGGTGAGTAGTTTCAGAATCATTGGACTATGAACTAGGGTGATTTATGGCCATCACTAAAATACCTTATAGCATCAAGTCACATGACACTTCAAAACCTTTATGTTAAGTCCTTCATATAGACATGCTTATAGTAAAGTGGTGGTCAGAAGGCATGATAACTCTGACATTAAAAACAAGAAAAAAGCAAGCATTTGATTGTACCTATACATTTACCAATTGCACACTCAAGTTGTACTTAGACTACTGGAAGAATCTTGTCCGAGTGTGGGGGGGAACAACCCTATCCATCCAGGAAATGCCAGAAAATGTAGCATCACTCCTCCACTTTCACCGCCTAGAGAAATGTCTTCAGAGCATGCTTTGGTGGCTCCAGTGACAAATGAGTTGTTAGATATTCTCTAAATGCTCATCTGAACATCTGAACTGGATAAATACGACCTCAGGTTCAATCGATATCATTTGGACAAATAAGACAACAGGACACATTGAAGATGTAAAACTTCCTAATTGGCTAAACACAATGATGATACTGTGGAGTGGCATGGCAATTGTGTTTCTTCTGCTTTGGGTTTGTTTTCCATTCTGTCTGTGGTTGCTCTTCTTCATGATCCATTCTCTGCCCCCAGGATCCTTCATTCCGTATTAATAATTTAATTTAAAGACGGACATGCACACAAAGGAAAGGAGGTTTGGATGTGCTCTGAAACTGAGCCCTTCCCTGCCACCAACTCTCTACATCACAGAAAGTGAAGGAAATTACTGGCAAGTACCATTTTCCACATGGGAAATATTGTGATCTCAGGAAGCTTGACTGTAACAAGATTTCTTCTTTGAGAGAATTTTTGAAAATTCAATAAACCCCCTTTTTTGGCCAAAGTGAAACCACACACACACACACAAACACCCTTTGTTTTCTCATGATACATGCATCTTAGATGTCAAACAAAAATAAAAAGCATAATATAATGAGAAAGCATCCATGCAAGCAAGGTAGGAGAGGTTCAATTCCAGAGGATCATTTTTAAATAGCAGCTCTTAATTTATACCTTCCTGGTATGGCTGTCCCTAAGCCAATGACCAAAAACAAAAGACCTGACTTTATAGTATTTTCACATATTCGGCACCAAAGTCCAATTCTAATTTCACACAGAAGTTGCTAATTCTTTTCTATCTTTTGGCAGGGTCAGAACAGCCTGTTTGTTCTGTGTACTTCCCACTTGGACCAGCTTGGCTTTCAGGAAACAAGTGCAAGAACCTTAATTATGACCTTTTCATTCTAGTGCCTGGCTAGTGCAAACTCAATCAGGTTCAAGAGGAGATAATTACAATAAAAGTTGCATGTTCCTTATAAACTAGAGGAGGGGAAGGGGCTGTCTCCCAGTTCCCTACAATTAAATGTCAAAGAGGAGGAAAGAGCATAGTAATGATCAAAGAGGGAAGTTTTACTAAAATAAGTCTAGATTTTTTTCAAAGATGCTTTTATTTATACCCGTGGCTTATTTGGATTTAAAAATTGTGCTGTCTTTACAATACATGTGGTACTTAGAGCTGCAGAAGTCCGATTCCGACGTACAGTCGCCCAGCTTAGAATGCATTTCTGCACAATCCATGGAGATCAATAGACTCAGGAAACAAATATGTTGATGGATGAGGACGGGTCTGAAAACAAGCAGGTTAAGGTAGCCACGTTGCTGGTTTCATAGTTATTCTCATGCTGGCAGAACCAAAGGGCTACAAAGGATTCCTCCCTTTTTGTAAAGGGGAAAAAGGAAGAGGGGAAGAAAGGGGCAGGAAAGGAAGGGAAGAGAATGGTGTGGATGGTGAGGAAAAGAAGAAAGAAACAGAGGATGATGAACAAGACAGAGAAACCCAGAGAGGGGCGGGGGAGTGGGAAGCAAAGCTATGATGTATGGAAGCTAGCCAGCCACCCAGCCAAGTACTCCATCACCCGCAAGCCTGCATCCCTCCCTCACAGACTCTAGGCTCAGTCTGTAGACTTAGGGCTCCCCGGTGCTGACAGCCTTCCTCATAACCCCAGTGCAAGCAATGTATGATGCTCCAAGTAGCCCACAGCATCCAGCCCATCCGAACCCGCCACTCCCTGGACTGTACACACCACCCCCCCACCCCCAGCCCCACGACTTCTCCTTAGCACCCCCCATCACTAGTCTCGGGGTGGGGGGGAAGCCTAGGAGAGAGCGGCATGGGGGGTGTCAAAAAAGGGAGCAAGTGGAAGAAGCAATCAAAATAATTTTTAAATAATGTGATAATAGATGCCGGGGAAGTGCCAGGGGAGGGTGCCCGTGACAAGCACCTGGGTAGCACAGCACGCTGTTGCAAATCCCCCAGGCTGCGTGGGGCTGGGCGATTTTCCACAAAAGGAACTTTGCAAGAAGCGCAGCGGTTTGCAAGGCGAGGAGAGGAGGAGGATCGCAGCGTTACCTGGCCGGAGGTCAACGCCGGCGGGGCCGCGGAAATCCTCAGGTTTGCACGGTCCTGAGCCACTTGATCGGGTTACTATGGAAATCGTCTTAGGAAGGACGCGGGGAAAGCACGAGCCAGGCACATCGTCCTCGGCCGCCGAGCAAGCGGGCGCGGGACCGGGCGCGGCGCCTCTCCCGGGCCCGGCTCGCTCTTTCTTCGCTCTCGGCCGGGCCGCGCCTCCCCGGCCCGCGCCGCCGCCGCCGCCGCCGCCGCCGCCGCCGCCGCCGCCGCCGCCGCCGCCGCCGCCGCCGCCGCCGCCGCCGAGCAGCCCGCGGGCGAGCCGAGCCCTCCGCCGCGCGCAGCCGGCAGCCGAAGCGCGAGCTCGCAGCAGCAGCCGGCCTGGGCGGCGAGTGGCGCTGTTTCCCAGCCGCGCAGCTGGGATTTAAAGAGACAGAGACGCGTCGCGGGACTCGAAGGGGGCCTTGGCCGGGAGGGGAGCCTGGCAGCTCGCCCAAGGTCCCCTCTGAAGTCCAATAGCCCCAAGCCCGCTCCGCGGCGAGCAAAGTTTCCTGCGGAGATGGCCCCTGAGAATTGCGTGAGGATCCGCCTTGGCCACCTCTCCTGACTGCAGAACAGGCTGCAAGGAGAGTAAGGGATTTTTTTTTTTTTCTTTTCCCTCCCTTGGACGCTAAGGGGGAAATGATTTGTATGCTCAACAAGTCATGCACCTATTTTCAGCCGCTCTCGCTTCCGACCTTGTGCACCGACTTTTTCACTGAAAGCAACACAGGCAAATGGGGGTTGGGGGGGGCTCTTCGTTTCATGTCAGACTATAAGCAGAGTGCGTGGTTTAGGGGAAGGTGGTGGTGGAAAGATATAGCTGTCAAATATCTTGCTTTTTTTCCCTTCCTCTTCCAGCTAATGTAACATCTCCTTTTCTCTCCCCTCGCAAGCCTGGAGAACGTGCTTAAAGGTACATTCCAGACACTTCCAGCAGTTTCCAAAGACTCACCATTCTCTAAGCGCCTTTTGCATGAAGCTAGAACACCACAGGGATGGAGGGGGGCGTAGAAAGAACACACTAGTCTGACCCATTTCTTTCCACCCTAACTCAAAGCCAGTTGTCAGAGAGCAGCTCCTTCGATGTTGCATGTACGTCGGAAACAGAATGTAGTAGCAGGGCACATGGCTTACTACTACCATGCACATGTAGCAGCAGAGAAATTACAAGCCAGTAGGGTTGTTTCCTGTGCTCTCCATCAGTTTTCCCTGCTTTATACGGGATACAGGAGCTGTGCAGAACCAGTTCCAAACACAAACTTGCCCCCTGGAGGAGAGGCAGAGAGGGAACTCTTGATATACCCAGGATTTAGATGCTTCATAAATATCCAGGGTACTCTGTAACTGGGTTGAGGGGAGGGGTGAACCTACTGTCTAGGTTATCAAGCAGGGTTACACTGTGTCCCTCTTCCAGTCTTACATGATGCTATCCGCTCACAAGCAAAGCTCACACCCCACCAAGAGCTTAGCTCTTCTTCCTTTACCTCTCCTCCAGAGTAAACCTTTCAAGCAAAGAAATGTGGCCTTCCAGGTTCCTACTCCCTTCAAGAAAACGAGCCTGTTCTCATTATGATACGGGACGGTGGCTAACAAAATAGCATCATAATAAAACACAGAATATACTGTAACAGAATACCCGAGACTATAACATGTCAACAACATTGTCTTATCACTCAGTTCTGGGTTACACAGTCCACCTTCTAGATGCCAGCAGGTTTAGAATCGGATGAAGGACTGGTTTCTGTCTCTTTGATAGCCTTTTGAATGTTTCTTCCTCTTGAGGGAAAGTGCCCTTGTGCTGGAACATCCCTTGTCCACGAACTTAGTTCTTGTTCAGCAGAGAAGCTCCACGATGTTACCGCACCTGAAAGCAGGATGCTTTTCCACTTTGTCCCTGCCTCTTTATGCCCCCCACCTGCCCAGCAACTCCAGCAGGTGAAAGTTACTGCCTGTGCTATGGTTCTTCAGGCAGGACGCCTTCACTCCCTCCTTCACAATTGCAGCCCCTACTCTGCCAGGAATTCTCCCCCCCACACACACACACACAAAGTTTGCTTCTATCTTTCCACCACTGTAGAACCAGCTAACTTTTACTCGTGTCCTAACAAGAAGCTTCCTCAGAATCTTCACCTAGTATCTGCGGGTCCCACATCTAAGTCTGGGGGCCACTACCCTCCCCTGTGATGTCTCTGTGCCCACCTGTCACTCCTTAGGTGTTGTAATAATATATTTATTGATCTCCCCAGACTGTGTGTGTAGTGACAGAAGCTTATTTTTCCCTCCATATCCAAGTGTCAGACCCCTAACTAAATTGAGGGGGGAGGGACCACACAGCAGCAGCTAGAGTGAGAAAGTAGAAGAGAGAGAAGTCTTTGATGGTTGATGAACACATTGCCAACCAAAGTCAAAACTAGTAATAAATAACCTTAGAAAGGCCAGAGGTTTGAAGAGAACATCGGTGTTTCTAAACTGCTAGTAAGTATCAGGTACAAGCTAAACGCTGGGCAGGTTATCTTGTGTATCCTCCAAACATCCTTGCAAGATAATTATATGTGAGGAAACTAAGGCCTGAGAGTTGTTTGTTTGGTGTCCTGTGGCTGCTATGGAGGTGGGGGAGGGGCAATGCGCTTTATAATAAAGCAGGTGGTTTACAAAGGTATGGAATGAGATGCAACATCTGTTCCTATTCATGTTTCATTAATTTAGTTAATGGCTTCAGCTCTGCCACCCCACCCAGAAAGGATTTGCCTTGCATCCTCAGGTAGAAGGCTCTGTGAGTTCGTGGCCATTCCCTGACTCAACAGTCCCATGGGGTATTCTTCCCAGGCTCTCGGAAAGGGTTGCTTGGGCTACTGGTTGTAATTTCTGCGTAGTCCTGTTCTTCCTATGTTCCTAATCCTGAATACAGTGTAAATGCCTGGTCCATTCGATCAGACCAGACCCATAAACCTTTGCTCTAGAGCTGGAGCCAGGGGACTTGGCTCTTCTGTTTCTGCTGTGCTACATTTGACATGATAGACAGTGCCATTACCTAGAGGGGTGATCTGCAAGTGAGTTAAAAGGATAAGAAATTAAATTATCTGTACTCCCTTTACACATTTGCCCAAACAAGAAAAATACATAAATTATAAGCAAAAGTAAATGTGGTTGAAAATAAAAGAAACTTAGAGCCATTTATGATGGGGTTTCATTCAGGATTTAGATACCTTACTCCAAAATTACAAACTCATAGATACCAAGCTCCATTCAATAGAAACATGGGGCTTGTGGATGACTATAGAATAAATGGATGGAGAAGCGTTCTTTCCTTGAGTACAGTACCCTTTGTAGTGGAGATCAGGAAAGCATAATATGCTTACAGCTGCAAGGGATATTTAGGGTAGCAGTTCTTAACCTTATGGCATATTAGAATCACTTGGGAATTCTCAGCCTGGGAATGCACAGGTTCCATCTCACACCAATTATGTTGAAACCTCTGGGACTTGAAATCTAGGTGTGAAGATTTTGCAAGCTTGCCAGATGGTTCTAAAGGGAACTCAGGATTGAGGGCCACTTCTTCAGCGCTGGCCTCCAGTGCATGCACACCTGGCTGCTCATTAGCATGGCCGGGGAAACATTAAAGGCACTCAGGCCCACACCTACCTGCAGAGATTCTGAGTCATTGTTCGTCCTCTCTATATTTAATGTTTAATGAGGCTGGTGTTGAGTCAGGGTTGAAAATCGCAGTCGCAAGCCAATGCTTCTCAAAGCAGGGTCCCAGAACAGCAGCATGAGTGTGGCCAGCAGACATTTATAGATGCACCGTCTCACTCTCGCTCCAGATCCACAGGTGTTCAGGGTGGGGTCCATCAATCTGCAATGCCACAAGCCCTCTTGATGACTCTAATGCACAGTAAATTTGGGAACCGATGATTTACAACATAGCACCAGTGATATCACACTCTTCCAGTTTGAGAGCCAGCACTATCTTCAGCGAACACCTACGATCCTCCTCTAGAGAATCCAACTATCATTTCCGACAAGTTTCCGGATGTTGCTGATGCTGAAGGTCTTAAAAGCGCAGTTTTCTTTTGTAAAGGAATCCATCCCACATAAATTCAGAGTGTAGTATGTAGCTGCTCTGCCAAGAAAACAGCTTCTGGGTACCCAAGATGACTTCAGCAGATAAGGGCCCTTGCCTTCAATTTCAACAACCTGAGTTAAATATTTACTGACTTCTGTGAGTTGTTGTCCTGAGATCTCCATCACACACACACTGCAGGCCCACACACACAAGTAATTGTAAATATGTAGAGCGTGAGAGACCTTGGGGCACACAGGCCTAAATACACTGTATGAAATTTTTAAAACTAATAACGGGAAAACAGATTTTTTTAAATGTTTTAACCTTGGTTTATGTGTATCAGTGTTCTGTCTGAGTGTTTATATGTCCACCACCTCACAGAAGTCAGAAAAACACCATCAGATCTTCTGGAACTGGAACTACAGATGGTTGTAAGACAGAATGTGGGTGCTGAGAACTGAACCTGGTCCTTTGCGAGAGCAGCAAGTGGTCTTAACCACTGAGCCGCCTCTTCATCCCCCCAGAGGAGCTTTTGAGAAGAAAACTCTTGCCCTTAGTTCCCCACAATGTGGGGATGTAGAAGGATTCTATGCGCATGGCGTTCTTCTGACTTATGAAGTGGGAGTAAGTGTTGGCCTGCACAACTCAAAGTGCTGGGTACCTGAGACCTGAGTCAGTTGTGAAGAGCATCTTGGCTGCACTAGATTGCAAGAAAACCTCAGGAAAAGACACAAACCCTCTTCCGCTCAAACCCAACCACTTCAAGGCTTGAGAAGAGAGCTAATCAAGCTTGCCTTTTCTGACTGCACACATGAGCCCCACCTGCCTTCCAGGGCTTTCCTGACTGCAGCTGCTCTAGGGAAAGGGAAAATAAAAAAACCCTGCTTTTTCTGAAAAAGCAATTGCTTTTCTTCTTGATGACTTAGAGAGGAGCTATGTAAACCTTATCTGTCCCAAACTAACAAATGCTAAGAGTACCCTTGGTTCCCACAGGCCGGGCTTCATTCCAGGGGAAGGAGCATGGAAGATCTCTGTGTCACTAATCTTTGCCTCTAGTCAGACAGCCAAAGAGAACACTGAGTGAGCCAGATCGCTCAAAAGAAGACACCCCAGACCGTGAAATCGCCTTTCATCCTTTTAGCTGCTTGAATTGATTTCAGGCTTCTAACCTGGATCCTTGAAAGAGGACCTGTCGGGCTTAAGCTCTTCCTTAGGGCTTGAGACCCAGCCTCTACTCACCATCGCCTTGAGAAGTCCAGACAGACTACTAAACTGCATTTTCTTCCTGGGACTTCTTTAGGAATCAATGGAATTTCCCTGTTTTAAGAGATGAGAGCACCAGGGATAAGAGTCTAAAAGAGCTCTAAGTTGCCAGGTGCAAAGTTGCTGACAAGGAAAAAAAAAACCTTTCTAAGAGGGATCTACCAGCGTGTTACTGCCTGGGCTTTTGCAAATGGCCCCAATGTTAATTACTGTATCAGCTGCTGAACTGCTTACTCTGGGCTGTCTGAAGGTTTGAATGAAATCTCCTTCTATCGAGGCTACAGGAAATAACAGTCATCGCCAAACTGCAAAATATCACCTAGATTTCTTTTTTTAAGTCAGATCCATTTAAAAAAGCATTGCAGCTCCCAGAAGTGTAATTAAGTTGCTTAGCTGAACAGGGAGCTGTCTGTGGCCTTTAAAAATATCAATTGTAAGGGAAAATGGAAAAGGGAACAAAAAGTAGGTAAAAAATGATGAAGAGAAAGGGCAGGTAAGAATAATAAGGAAGGATGTTCCTGTTCGTGGTATGGGGTCTCCATTTGCAAGGTGCCAATCATAGATGAACATCTGGGACTGTTTTGTTATGGAGTTGATATCCTTGGAAAAAATAAGGAAGTGTTTAGACCTCCCATCAGATGTTTCTCAAGGGCAGGTTTCTAGCTGAATTGCAAAGTAGTGATGGAATTTCAAAATGCATCATATTGTTCTTAGACAATATGTTGTTCTCAAGAGATTATCATGGTTAAACTCCTATGCAAGGATAAGAAGGTGTGCACACACAAGTGTGCATGTGTCTATTTGCACAGACCCTTGACAGTGTAAATGGGAGAAGGGCATCAGGGAGAGGTACACAGAGGTGAGTGCAGATGCATTCCAACAGGAAAATAACTTCTCTGCAGCTCTGAATGTGTTTCAAAATTTAAAAAAAGGTTTAATTGGAAATGAGAATTGTGTGGTAGTTCACTTCTGTAATCCCAGCACTCAGGAAGTTGAGGCAGGAGAATAGCTGGGAGTTTGAGGACAGCATTAACTGCATAGTGAGTTTTAGGGCAAAATAAGTGACCCACATGAACAATATAAGAAAAGTATAAAATGAGGTTCCTAGCAGATTGGCACCTGTTCCTCTCTTGGACCATGACTGATGCCATTAGGGATGCCACACATGAGGCGTTGCATTCAGGTACTACAGCCTGTTATACCTTAGACCACACTGACCTTGCAAATATCCTGCAAATTGATTTCCAGGCCGTTCCCCTGTAGATACCCTTGGCATCCTAGATGAAGATGCATGCTCAAGTCAAGCCAGCTGTGGTTCTTGGATGTCTGTGCTCATCGGTGCGCAGAATTACAAGGCTTTGATGGCATCATCGTTGTTCATCTACAGAACAGCACTGGGGTGAAGTAGTGGGTGTAAAGATTTCACTAGACCCAAAATAAATGATGAATGGGTGTTGATGGGAGAATACTTACACAGATAAGTATAGAGAACCACCGGGGCGCTTCTCTAACCTTCCTAATGGATCGGCTTTTCCAGATTAAAAACCTGGAAAAAGGAAGCCAGGCCTCAAGCTCCCTCTTTCCATTTCCTTCTGCCTGAAGCCACACCCGAAGGGGTGTGACCACCATCACAGACCGCTACATTTGGGGTCTTCTACAAGGACAAATTTACGAACTGTAAGCAGTTAAATGAACTCATCACATGAGCCTTTCTCAAAGAATAGCGCTGATTAGCGGTTTTCTATACTTTGAAACATGACCGTGGATTGTAAAGCTCTAGAATATAGAGACCGATAACCTTTGAGACAATAGTGTCCAGATTCATATGTACTTTAGCATCATTAAATCGGTTTTACATATTTTGTTCATGAATTTTTATGCATAACAATGTCCTTGATGTTAAATTTATATGGATGTTGATCACATTAATTCATGCTATGACCTAAAAATAGTTCTGTGACAATCTCACCTAAGATGTCAGACCCCAATCACGAAATACAAGGAAGGTGGCACCTGCTTTACACTTAGGGTTAGAGTCTCCCAGACACAAACATTTCCACAAGTAACCAACAAAACAGAATTTAAATTATCAGAATATTATCCACAATCCTGTTTTTCTTTTGGGGGCCCGGGGGCAGTTCAAGACAGAGTTTCTCTGTATAACAGCTCTGGCTGTCCTGAAACTCATTCTGTAGACTAGTTTGTCCTCAAACTCACAGAGATTGGTCTTCCTCTGTCTCCTGGAGTGCTGGGACTAAAGGTTTGAGTGCCAAGATAGCCCTGTTTTTCTTAACAATCTCCTGGTAATAAAAGAAAATATTTTGATTTCTGCTCATTGGACAACCTTTATTCACATGAGGAGTCTTATCTTTCAGGAAAAACAAATAAACAAAAGAATTACCATAAAAATAAAAGAGAGCAGAAAGCGATTGGTTTATAATGTGCTCAAGTATAAAGAGAAGAGATCAAGCTGAGAAAGTTTATTGCTTCTTATCACACACCGACAGCTCAAAGCACGAGTCAAGATGTCCTCACTGAGAAGCCAAGACAGCAATGTTCCATTTCTGTTCAGGAAGAAAGTACCACAAAGGAGAACGAGTATTTGAATAACTCAATAGGTAAGGGGAGAATTTACATGTCAAATTGTCCTGATCCATGAACATGGGACACATTTTCCATGGCCATTCCATGAGTAAACTGTCAGGAGTGAGAAGCCATTGCTGTTCCTCCATGAACCAGTGACACAGAACGTTTATTTGAAGATGTAAAGAGTTGAGAACCATGAGAGCGTGTCTTCTCAAATCAGTAGGTCTTTAGAGAGTTGTGTCCCCTAAAGATGACTCGTGTACATTTATTTGTATGTATTCAAAACTCCAAACCCTAAACTCCAAGTTTTATAGAACAAAGAGAAAGAAAGGGGAACTTCTCACACACTTGTTTGTATGGGGCACAAGAAGACATCAGTGGAGTTTTATTCACTTTCTATTGCATTGAGCATGAGTGCAGAAATGTACTTTTCTTTCCAAAGGAATGGTTAGGGTCGGTTTAAGGAGGGTTGCATTTTTGCATTTTTTTCTGTCTCTAGTGTGTTAGGTTTCTTCTAACATTTTTGGTAAGTGGCCTTAGGAGCTGGAAGACAAGCACAGACCAGCCTATTAGCTTGCTTACTAGCCAAACACACCCCCCCCCGCAACCATAGCTGCTGAAAATCTGAACATAGAAAAGTCAATATAGTACGTGGATATAGCAAGTAATGGAAACCATCCACATGAAAAATAACTAGTTATAACTGTCATGAAAACATCTTTTATCCTGCAGCCTCATCTAACCCAACGCTATTTGTCACTGCATGCATCCACAAACTCCTCAAGCCAACCATTACATTTTATGAGGTATCAGTTTTATTCTATACTGTGCCAGATACTGCTGAAACCCTTTTAAGCCTCAGCATTCCTCATTCATTTATATGTACTTGTAAGGGTCCAGTTTACATGTTCAATGAGGAAAGAACAAGCATTTTTGCAATATGTACATGTTTCATTAAAAGTTACCATTTAAACTCTTCATTATGAGCACCTAATTGTAACAAAGTATATGTTTGTGAGTGCATATATGTGTGGCTGCTAATTTTCTATGCTAAAACAATTGCCCAGACATTTTGTGTTTATTAGAGGGAGTGCATTATTTCACTTAATTAGGGTCCCAACTCTCTTTACAACAATTTGTGATACTTCATTTTGAAGCCACTGACATTTCAGCTACTGTATAATTCTTGTGCATAAACACTGACTCAAGCTACAATCTACAATTTGAGGTACTGAAGAGAAGGGGAGGGAACAAACCATGTGATATGAGACTCAGAGTCATAGCTCAGCTCCTGTAATAACTGTCATAGGAGAGCAGATGTGAGGTGCTAATGGCTGTCTCCTTGATGTTTTGCAGACTAGGAAGTTTTCCTACTAATTTATAAACTTGTTGAAGTCATAAGCACTTAGGAAGGCAGTTACAAGCCATGCTTTTCTTACAGGTCTTACTAAGAAGAGTATCCTTATTACTTCTAAACAATAATGTGTATTCTGCACTAACAGCAGTGATCATTAATCAACCTGAAAATCAAAGCTGAGTTAACTTCCTGCTCCACCATTACTTGTATGCAGGATTCGGTTAGTGTCAGTTTCTAGGGATGGTGAAGACCAATGCTTATAGCATTTAAAGGAAAGTTGCCCTGATGTCTCCATACAAATCTATCCAAGAGCCACTTATTTCCATTTCTCCTAGTAGAATGACAGTGGAGAATGCCCAGAAAGTATTTCATTAATTTAAAAATAAAATAAGACAATATCACATGAAAAACATCACATGAAAGGGGGTAGACATTAGAGAATGTCTATTTCTTCCCTTTATGTTAAGAGCTTAGGAGAGGATAAAATTTCTGTGAGGAAAAGGTTAATATGATTGCATGCATACATTTCTTTTTTGGAGGCGGGAGGAGTCTGTTTGTATTGGTCAGTAGGAGTAAAGCTTCTATTTAGGTACCAATTCAATTTCTCCATATTTGATGACAAGCAAGTGATTCTTCAGCAATAAGACCTTACCATCAGGTTATAGAAAGTAACTAACAGCATTGGCAATGACATGTAATGTTTAGGGGGTAGTCTATGTGACCCATTTGGTTAATGAGTCAACAACACTTAACCCTTCCTCATACTAAGAATTTTATTTGGAAGCATATGATGTCTATCTGGGGCCTTGTCTCCCCCCATTGCATGCACACATTTTTTACACAATGGTAAATCTTTGGAAAAGCACCTATTTTGAAATATAAACATCCACAAAATGTACTCAGGCACATATGACTCCTTCAAGTGTTTAAGGACATAACTCAATTGATGCATTCTTTTGAAAACTGAGACCCAAAAATCTGCAGTTAAAATTTATGAACATTTTATCTTTCTGTCCCTAAAATTTCCAATGGGCAATCACAGTTTGATGTCTGTGGGAGATTTCTAACTGGCTGAAAACCCAAGTAGCATCTATAGCACCTTATATCTTTGTAAATTCTGCAAAACTCTGCAACAGGGACCCTTTATCAATCGGTTATGTTTGTATCCAATGCATCAGTTTTACATAAAGAAGTTTAGAAATGACTACAATTATGATAAACAGTAGTATGTGACGTCTTTGATCTTTAAAAAAACCACCATACTCAATAGCTGGGAAAATGGCTTAGCAATAAAGCAATTGTCTTGAGGGTGTGAGGACCACAGTTTGGATCCCCAGAATCTATTTGAAAAGCCATGGAAACACGGAGGTCCACCTAGAGGTCCAGGTAATCATGAAGGTCCACCTAGAGTTCCAGATAAGCACAAAGGTCCACATATAGGTTCAGATAAGCATGAAGGTCCACTTAGAGTTGCAGATAAGCATGGAGGTCCACCTACAGTTCCAGTTAAGCATGGAGGTCCACCTACAGTTCCAGACTTCAGGAGGTAGAGATGGGGAATCCCTGGAGTAATCTCATTAGACAGGTTCCCATGTCAATATATCAGATGGCAAGAGCTGGAGAAAGACATCTGAAATCAACCTTGGGCCTCCACTTGTACATACATGTGCACACATACCACGCCACCTACCAGACCTGTGTCTACACACATGCATTCACACATACACATGTGAAAAATAATACTATAACCAAAACAGTGGCATATATTTTCTTGACCTGATTTATCAGGCCTATTTGTTTTTATATATAACAAACACCTTTACTAATTTTAGCACAGTAATCTTCTTAAAATACTACTTTGTAACCTGTTTAAAATAATTGCTGTTGTCAAACTATAAATACAAAGGTCACTTGGAGGTTCTTTTGTGATATACTAGTTAGAAGACATTGCTTAAGAATAAATAGTCAAAAATACACTTATTGTAGAATTACTATGCACAGTGCACTGTAAAAACCTGAAAAAGAATTTCAGAGAATCTGCCTGAGCTGAAAATGTCTTGTTTACCTAAAACAATAGCATGAGACAATGAAACAAATAGCATTGCTTAAGAATGTGTGCTTCTGCTGGACAGTGTTGGCACATGCCTTTAATGCCAGCACTTGGAAGGCAGAGGCAATGGGATCTCTGTGAGTCTGAGGCCACCCCGGTCTACAGAGCAAGTTCGAGTCTTCCCTGACATCTGTGTACTCCAGCACCTCCCCCAGGATACATGCAGAGTCACCAGGTGGTAGGAAACAAATGGATAATCAGCTGTACCCTACTTGGCTATTGTATAAACAGTTGTAAACCATTGACAAACCAACTGGGATGATCTTTTGCAAGGGGATTGGGGCATAACTGAATTCCCCAAGACTAGAAATAAGGGCTTTTAGGAAGGGTAACCGTGTGGCAAACCATCTATAAAACCCTTCTGAACTATAATCAGAATAACATACATAAGCTGAGGTCACAAGTAAGTATATAAAGTATCAAATGCACTAAAAACTCAGAATGTCAATATACAGTCAATTTGTAGAAAATTGTTCCCAATAAAATCTTGATCCCTTAATTTCCTGATTAGTATGCAGATATATGTCTTCTGAAAAAGCTTATTTCACAAATTACGTCTTTGCACCAAGTGGGATATTGAATTGGAAATATCTAATATAAACTTAGAATTTTTGAATAATTTCTTGAGAATTTGATAAATGTACCATACTTACATCCTATCCACACCTTCTACCCACCCCATTCCACTCCTCCTGTGGCTCCCTACTCCTTCTCAAATTCAAGACCTCTTCTTTTATTATATATATGTATATGTGTGTGTGTGTGTGTGTGTGCTATATAAATACAACCTGCTGAATCTATTTAGTATTGTTCACATACATATGTCATATGTATATGTGTTTAGGGGTGATTGGATAACCAACCAGGGAGTTCATTGATGGAGAAGACTGTATCTCCACTTCTCAGTAGCCATTAATTGCCTGTACCTCTTAATCTAGTGATGGAGCCTCTCAAGATCCCTGTCCCCCAACATCCATATTGTCATAATTACTACAAGATAGATTATTTTTAAGGAAGCATGATTAGTTTCACTATAGACAAGGAAATCTTTCACTTCTTAGAGATTGGTGGGAGTCTTGCAGATGAGCTCATCCAGGGGAAGAGTAGGATTAATAGAGATGAGTTATCAAAAAGGACATGGAAAGTTTGATACAGTGTGTAACATGTGGATGGAAATAAATGACAATGCAAAACAGAACTCTAAAAGAGATAACATGGAACCCCAGGAGAAAAACACCAACTGGAAAGTGAATTCAACTATAAAACATCATGGAAAAAAAAACATACTGAGACGTAAAGTCTACTATCAAATGTCCTGGAAAAAAATCATAGGTCCGGGACTCCCAAAAATCAACCTATGTAATTCACACACAAGAGAAATATGAGTCCAAATATATACTAGATGCTCTTAAGGACATTTAATAATATTAGGAAGAGTTTAGCAGTGACCTTGAAAAGGAAGGGAATTCTGGCAGGAGAGGATTCAGCCACACAGAGTGGTATCTCCTGGGAATAACAGGGTCAAGATAGAATTAGTTTCTGTTTTATTCTTTTATAGTAAAAAAGAAGAAACTGCTTGTTTGAAGGCAAACAATAATAAGTCCATCGAGAGAGAGATTGAAGGGGCCATAGATGAAGCTAAATGATTGCACTGGTAAATGTTAAAAAGTTAAAGTTCAGGCATTAGTCAGCAATTTGGGGCTTTATATGAAAGGGTTGAATTAGTTTAATAACTCATGGAATAAGAGTGTTTTTCTGTATCAGCTCTCTTTGTCACTCTGCCATGTGCTTTCATGGCTCTTCATTCTTAAAAAGGAGCTCTTTTATTTCATCATGTCCTTTCGAACAGTTAATTAGTTTTAATTTTACCATGACATACAAATTTTGAATAATCACCCTAATTGTTGATCCAATTCCAAATGTATAAATTGGGCTGTTTTCCCCCTTTTATAACTACCAGGGAATTTCAAATTTAAAAAAAAAATGTGTGGGCCCTAAAATTTATTTCAGTAAAAAGTCTACCTCATAAAAGTGATACTTCTATAACCCTGCATCAACTTATATCTAAAACTTACACAGATGTATCTATGAAGTAGAATAATTATCCAAAAGCAATGTCTTGGTTCTTTCAAATGTCACCTGTCACCATTAATATTCTAAGCTGACACTTTGTCACCTCTCTTCTGAGTGTGATTATTACCTAAACAAGGGTCAGAGTCCCCCTCCTTGTACTTAAAGTCCCCCTCCATTCCTAGAAACCTCAGCAGCACAATTGTCTAAGACAGAGATCCAACCTCTGCTGCAGCAGCTGCTCCCTTGACATTTCTTGGCGAACGTCCTGAACCTAAATGTCCCTTGGGCAAGATAAAATTTCAGTGTGATGGGATATCAATTTCTCTCACAATTAAATCCTGTCCTAGACATGCAGATATATAGCAGCAACCTCATCACTGCCCAAAGCTAGCCAGCTTGGGGGAGATGATTCTTTGGTAATTTGCTCAGGAAAAAAAAAAGCAGGGATGGTCAGGCGAGTCATCCATGAATATTTCCCTACCATTCTCCAAAACAAAACAAGAGAGAGGCTGAAGGAGAAGAAGCAACAGTACTCAGTGTCTCTGCTACACCGAATATAAATAAGAGCAAAATTCGGTCAATGATTACAAAAATAACCAACTTCCTGTTTAGGCCATGAGGCTACTTATACAATTCATCCCAAATAATTGTAAAAATATTTGGAGGTGCTTACACTTCCATAGAGGTCTACAGTTTGGTTTTGTGTATATGTTTATACAGGTGTGCAAGTACTTGCAGGTGTACATGAACACATGTGTGCATGTGTATGGAGGCCAGACACCAACCTTGGGTCTTATTCTTCAGATACTGTCCATGTTATTTTTTGAGACAGGGTCTCTTGTTGGCCAGACTAGAAGGCCAGCAAGATCCACTTTCCTCTTACCTCCCCATTGCTGTAAGCTTCAAGACACCCAGTTTTCTCATGTGCTTTCTTGGGGTGGAGCCCAAGTCCTCCCTCATGTTTGCAAGGTAAGGGGGTTTATGAACTGAGCTATCTCCCAAAACCCATAAAGTTTATTTATAATGTACATTATAGTAACACAAAGGATAAGCAGATGGCAATTGTGACATATTGTTATTTAGACAACAGTAAAACTGAAAACTTGGTAGGAATACAAAGTTTTCCTCATCCTTACAAAATCATTCACCCAATGTTATGCAAAATTCTTCACAAACTCCTTTGCTATAGTCTCCCTATTGTGTCTCTCCTGAAGTATTAATGTCAAATAATTATAAGGTTCTTTTATACTCTAGAAACACAAATTATAGGCAAAGACTTCAAAACACTGAAGAATTACTTCTCAAATGTAATGCACATACAGTTCAACTGAGGATCTTGTCAAAATGCCGACTCTAATTCAGTCAGTCTGAGGTGGGGTCTGAAAGCCCTGAGACTTTCTATTTCTAATCAGCCCCCAATTTTGAATAACAAGAATGTTAAAGAAATGTTCAATGTTGAGTACAGAGGATACCAAAGAACCAGAAATCGGATATATATTATGTACGTATCATGCATGTATACACACACACACACACACACACACACACACACACATATGCACTAGGTAGTAGAGAGATAGCAGAACTATGTAGGATAAGCAAGCAGAAGATTTGCAGTAAGCAAACTCTAGGGCTGTTCAAAAACTGGTAGAATGGAGACCCAAGAAAGAAGATAGTCAGTTTAAAAAGACCTAAAGCAGAAGAGCAGTGTCCTAGTTCAAGTAGCTAAGCAAGAGGAGTTTCTCTTTCTTACAAGGGCTCAGCTCCCTCGTTCTATTTGGGCTTTCAAATGCTTGCAAGGGAACTGCAAACATGAGCAAGGAAAATCAGCTTTACTTAGTCTACTAATTCAAATGTTAATCTCATTCAAAAACACTCTTATAATCCTACCAGAATTAGTGTCTGACCAAACATCTGGGTACCAGTGGCCCAGACAAGCTGACATATAAAACTAACCTTTGAAAGTGCTATTGTGACTCTGACACATTTTTTAAAAACTCAATAACCTATTGGAAGTAATTACAAATCTTTTAAAGCCACAATTTATTTAGAGCCTGGCCTATAATAAGTTAAGGGTACAAGTAGTGTTGCTTGATTATAGTATTTGCTATTCGAGGTAACAGAAATCATTCTTATTTTAAAGATGCCAGATATTCACATCGGAAACTCAGTTTTAGATGCTGACAGGCCTTGGGAAACGGCAGACAACATTCACTCAAGAATCACATGAGGACTAAGATGGGGTAGTTGGAGGTCAGTTAGTCTAAAGACTGAGTGATAGGGAAAATCATGAGTATTGGTTACGGGAAGAACGGGAAACTTTGTAAAGCACAACTGAAGGAGAGTTTGCAGTCCTTCTAGAAGGATTAGTCCCAGTTGGGAGGCACAAGCCACACAGGAGAGAAAGCAGTTGCTGGGGGCTGGAACTACTGC